CATCCTATCTATCTTGTAATATATATATTTTACTTCTTGGAGACATGCCTGCTGAAGCTTTCTGTTCACCTGATCCAATTTGAAGTTGTTCTCTAGGCCGGCCTGCATGACTGCCCCCTGAACTGTCTCTGTCTGCATCATTATCCCAGGAATCCTTTTATTACTCTGTGTGATGGGAGCTCGTTTCCCCAGCTCGTTGTCTTTCTCCGGTAAGCTTTCAGGGGGGCGGGGTGTGTGTGCGTGTGCGAGTGCGTGTGTGTGTGTGTACACGCACCCGTGTGAGAAGTGGTATTTTTATCCTGCGGTCGTTGTTGATGGATGGCTTGGGTGGGTATACACCTTGATGGGAAACAGTTCCCCTCAGATTTGTAAGAGCTGTGCTCGACTTTCCTTGTTTTCTGGGATTGCTGTTGAGCAAGCTGATCTCTTGCTGACTCCTTCCTGTTCCTCTGGGAGTGACTCTGGGACGCTTTCAGGATCCCAGACGTTTTATCCGGAAAGGGCCCAGTGATGCTGCTGAGTGTCGGGCGTCGGATGGTCCTCTGGGTCAGCTAGTTCATGTTCTCTGGGGCTTTTGTGTGGTTGGTTTGGGGTGGGGGTGGGGGGTGCTCACTGTTGTATTTCTCTCTGGTTTTCCTAGTCTCTTGCACTTGTTCCCCATGATCAAGCATCTAGACACCCCGAGTGATTCTCTAATGTTCTTATTGTTCCCCCTCCCTTTCTGTTCTTCCCTTACCTCGTCTTTCCTCCCCAACTCAGAGACTGTGCCAACATTTGCTTCTCTTCCTACTGATTCTTGTTTTCTAATCTGCTCTCATGATCCTCAGGGGTCACCCTCATTCACCAAATGCCCCCTCTGCCGGGGCTGCTCTGTTCCCTTTTTGTGTCCCTCGATTGACCCGCCCCCCCCCACCCCCCAGAACAATGAGGCCTTTTGACCCTGTAAAGTGGTATGGGTCTCGGAAACTCACATGGGGTGGGGGTGGGGGTGTCCTGCCCCACCCTAAAGTGTCACCAGGAGTCGGCATCAACTCGATGACGGTGCGTTTGGTTTGGGGTTTGAGAGCCGCTTCCCGATGGCTGGAACTGACAGGACCCAGCCACTTCTCAGGGACGCTTCAGAGATCGGTTGGTTTCATTCTGTAGGGAGGTTGGGGTGAGGGGGCGGCGTCCAGTTTCCCCGTGGAAGTTCGGAGCCCCTCGGTCAGCATCCTGCCAGGGGCCGGCTTCACTCCGCCATCCCCTGTGCTTTAGTGAACCAGAACTGCCTCGTGTGTCTTCCCGTGGGGGGTAGAGGGGGGCACAGGAGCTGCGTGGCCGTGACGGGTGGAAGGGAGAGACGGGCATCTCGTGTGACTGGTGTTCGTTGCTGTCGAGTCTCGGCTCGGCGGCTTACACACAACAGAAGGAAAGAGATGGGCCAGCGCCATCTTTGCTGGTGGCCTCAAGTCCACTGGTACCGCCACTGTGTGTGGTGGTTCCTCCCCAGTCAGAGGGCCCACCGCCCATCGTGGGGCAGAACAACCTGGTAGTCTCCTGTGACCCATAGGGTTTTGCTCTGTGAGCTTTTGGAGGTAGATTGCCCGGTCTTTCTTTCTAGTCTGTCAGCCTCAAAGCTCCTGCTGAACTGTGTCCACTGCGGGTGACGTGGCTGGTGTTTGAAATACTGCTGGTGGAGCTTCCAGCATCGTGGCAGCCCATCGTCCACCCCGAGACGACAGACAGACAGACAGACAGACAGACGAGCGGTGGACGAGCACCATACTGTGACCACAGTAAATCAGTTCAATGAATTCTCATGCTTGGACCTCACTCAGAGTCCTCTCCTTCCAAAAAACCTGCTGCCTCGTTTCCGCGCCTCCCTGACCCTGTGTGTCTTGCTTTGGGTGGGAATTGACACAGCAAGTCCATCCACCCACTCGCCACTTCTCCACGCAAGAGAAAGACCGTGCTTTCTACTCCCGGGGGCAGTCTCCCTGTCTGATGGTGCCCTGTGAGTAGGCACTGACTCCATGGCAGTGGGTGAGGTCTCACACAAGTTGTTCTGGGACATCAGCTGCCACCCTCACGCCGGTCAGCTCTCTCCCCACGTCCACCTTCGATTCCTATTTCCGTCCATCTGCTTCCCCAGCCACGCCCTACCTCGTCCTCTGCTTGTGGGCCAAGGCTGCCCTTTGGTCCCTGGCCGTGCATTGATCTAAGGAGCACCGTTCTCGGCAGGTGGTGGTAGTTAGTTCACAGGCCCATCTGTTGTTCGGCTGAAAGGTTGTGTTCGGTCCCAAGTCTCCTTCCGACCAGGAGGTCTGGTCTGTTTATTGAACAGGAATTTTGTTCTACATGTTCCGCCCCTCCCCGCCTCTGTCTTTTGCTGAGTTGTGTTGAGTGACAGGCGCCAGGCAGCAGGGTGCCTTCTGGTCTCAGGGGGGAGGGTCTTTGGCGCATGGGTGCCCTCTGCCTTCCTTTAGACTAATTGCTTCTTCTTCTTTTTTTTAATCGTTTTATTAGGGGCTCATACAACTCTTATCACAATCCATACACACATCAATTGTGTAAAGCACATTTGTACATTCATTGCCCTCATCATTCTCAAAACACTTCCTCTCCACCTAAGCCCCTGGCATGCTGCTTTGACTCTGGTTTCACCCATCACGCTGTGCATGAAATTCCCCCCACTGTCTCTGGTCAGTTTTCCCTCCTGACCTCCGAATCCTTTGGATGGATGCTCCTTTGCATTCTTTATCGCCGTCTTAAAGAAGCCTCAAAAGGAAGTAGAGATAACTTTGTTTTGCAGATTGCCCTGTCTCACCAGAAGTCTGTTTCTCCTCCTCTTCTGCTTTTGTCCTGCCAAAGCTTAGGGACCCAGAGGGCAAGCTCCACTGTGCAAGCACTATCCAGCCTCCCCTTGTATCCCACTCGCTCACGCCCCATTGGCCCAAAACAGGTCACGTGGCCAAACCCAGAATTCATTCTAACTCAAACCCACTGCCATCCAGTCCATGCCGACTGATAGCTGCAACTCGTGAGGACAGGGTAGAACTGCCCCTGTGGGTTTCCTAGACTCTAATTTTTTACAGCATTAGAAAGTCTCATCTTTCTCCCGAGGAGCTGCTGGTGGTCTTGAACTGCGGACCTTGTGGATCGCAGGATACCCAATGTGTAACCACTACTCCCACAGGGCTTCCAAACCCAGAATTAGAGTGTGTGTCTATTGTGGTGGGGGGTGGGGGTAGAGTCCAGACCGGGAACCATGATTCTTCAGGGTCACTCTGCCTTTGGAAGTCAAACATACCGTGAGTCAGTGTTCATGTGGAGGAACACCGGTGCTCAGCGACTGAGCACTAACTGCTCCCTAAAACCCGGGTGGCATGGACCCGCCTTCCACTCTTGGGCAGAAAGACGCACAGCCTGCCTCTGTGAAGTTAGAGCCCTGGACTCCTGAGGCGCAGTTCTGCTTGCCCTGCCGTCCGAATCTACGCAGCGCCCCCAGGCTACTTGCATGTTCTCATCACAGAGCTCGCGTATGCCTGCATGTCTCTGAAACCCGGGTGTGCCAGACATCTTTCCTGTGGATGATTTGATGTGCTCTTACGAACGGCCACTAATATGCATTTGAGACACAGCCACACTGTCACCCTTTTAACCTAACGTGTTTCTAACCAGACTCTAGAGACTTGCACTATAGAGCAGCGATTCCCAACCTTGGGTCGCGCGACCCCTATGGGGGCAGAGCGACCCTTTCACAGGGGTCGCCAGATTCATAGCAGTAGCAAAATGACAGTGATGAAGTAGCAGCAAAATTAATTTTATGGTGGGACGGGGGTCACCACAATATGAGGAACTGTATGAAAGGGTCGAAGCATTAGGAAGGTTGAGAACCACTGCTGTAGAGTTTACCTGTTGTCACCATGACTGAGCTAATGAGAGACGTGGGGGGGTGGGGGGAGGGGGCAGCCCACAGGATCAGATTTCTGAATCTCTCTTCCAACAAACTTGATTAGAGTTACTTCTGACTTCCAGACAACTCCTATCTGCCCCTTAACGGAACCTCTTTATCACAATCGCCTTCACTTGCTGCACGCGCAACTTCTACACCGTTGACAAGACTTTGAACCTTCTCCTGCATGACAGCAAACCCACATGAAGCCCCTGCACTCACGTTCTCACCCACGCACCTACACATTCTTAAAGACACAGTCAAGGAAGAGCTCTTGTTCACCACCCCGGCACTGCCACCACAGCCGGGTGCACAAGAGGTCAGCTTCTTGCTGTTTTGGTTTTTGTAGTCTCTAAAACTTGTCTCTTCGGCACCTCCTAGGCTTGTTTTTGGGTACCAAAGAGACACCTCCACCACCCCCAATCTCAACTATAGTTTAAAGGGACCAAGTTTGAGACAAAACGGCAAGACAAAGACAACCTCATCTGAATCAAGGACGCCAGTCAGCCCAAGGCCAGTCTGACTGGTGGCAGATCACAGTGGCAGGTGGGACTGGAGGAGCAGACACAGGGCTGTGGTTGGGACACCTATGTTAGATTAGATAGAAGAACTCACAAGGTTGGTCCAGGCCTTTCCCAGCAAGACAGTCAGGGCGCGGACTGATGAGACTTGACTCCTGACTATGTGACCTTGTAGGGTGGTTTCCATCAAGGGCACAGCAGACAAGGCCCTCATAGAGGCTGCCCCTCCCTGGGCTGTGGGAGAGGAATAGGAAGCAGCCCACTTTCTCTCGCACCCTGCCTGAAGGCAAGGCTATCTACATTCAGTGGAGGCGTAATCTGTGCAGGGGGCACTCTGCAAATGGAAATTGGGTCTTCACTTGCCCTTGACCTGATGCAAATAGGGGACTTAAGAGTTGAAGCTCTAAATACAGACTCTGAAAGAGAAAAGCTATGGCAGCCGTAAACACCCGATTGTGCCTTCCTTGGAAATCCCAAACTGCTGTGCCTGCTAGGGCCGAAAGCGGCCCCACCTGTGACTGATGAGTGTATTCCTCGCCCCACAGGTGTTCTCTATCTTCAGTACGGAGATGAGACCAAGCAGCTCAGGATGCCCAATGAGATCACAAGCGCAGACACCATCCGTGCGCTCTTCGTAAGTGCCTTTCCACAGCAGCTCACCATGAAAATGCTGGAGTCTCCCAGGGTCGCCATCTACATCAAAGATGAGAGCAGAAATGTCTACTACGAATTAAACGACGTCAGGTGAGTCGGGAGTGGGCAGGGGGGGGGGTTGCATTTAGCAGGGTTTCCATGTCTCAGCTTCCCGGTAAACCGTTACCATCCTGTTGGGCAAGTGTATCGTCGTCGTCCTCCTTATCCAGCTCACTTGCAAGGCGCCGTTTACAAAGGGAGACTGGACTCTCCCTGTTGCCTCTGAAAGGAATCCCAGAGATCATCCGATCCACGGTTCATCTCAGAGTTTAGGGAAGCTCAAGAGCCGGACGATTCAGGCCCTCCGAGAGGTGGCGGGCCTTGATCAAGGCCACAAGATCTGAAGCCAGCACTTAGGACTGGAATTTGCCCAGCTCTCTCTCAAGTGCTCTGTCTCCCACAAGGAAAGCCGGGGTGGGGTGGGGTGGGGGTGGAACCCAAGTAGAAGACTCTGTGTTGTTAACCATGAGAGCAAAGCGGTTAGGAGGCAGTCCCATGCTCCATTTGTCACGTCAAGAACTGTCCTCCTCCTAAACATCTCACATCCCTGAGAGGTTTTCTCCAGGGCCTGCATGATACACACTCCACAGCAAGGCTGGGCAGACACCAAGCATTGCAGAGGGCACCAGAAATTGGAGGAACTTTATGGGGCTGTGTGGGTAGTGTACAGAGAAGAAAGGGCCATTTGATCTGTCTGTCCCAACACAACCAGCTGGGAAAGGACTTCCATCAACACAAACCAGCAGTCTCGGCTTGTACAGTGAGCGAGAACCCAGTGGCCAAGGCAGCCTTTTCATTGGTGTTCAGAAACATTCGGGTTACGGTTCGAGGGTGGATTACTCTGAATCCCAAGCCCAGCTCTAAACCTGGTTCTTCATATTCCTAGCTGAGAACCCTGTGTCACACTTGGGATGGTCCCTCATCCCTGCCTCTGGCTCAGACTGATATGTCTGCATCCCTGCCCCATACACAAGGAGCCTTGGTGGCATCACAGTTGTGTGTGGGGGCTGCCATCTGCAAGGTCCGCTGGGTGCAAACCTCCTGCCCCTCCCCGGAACAGTTGCAATCTCAGGAACTTGGGGGGCAGTCCGACTGTGCCCGACAGAGAGGGTCTCTGTGGCTTGGAATAGACTAGATGACAGTGGGCACAGTGGGCCCCAAAGGGAAGGAGCCCTGGTGACGTGTAGTGGATTGACTGTACACTGGGTGCTGGGCTGCTGGCCGCTAGATCCGCAGTTTGGATCCAACTGGAGGTCTTCTCCGTAAAGAGTCGCAGCCTTGGAGACCACAGGGGGTGCTCCCTATTGAGCCACTGTTGACTGATGGCTCCAAGTTTGGCGTTTGGTTTGGCCCCCATAGGAATAGCAAGCTTCTCTGTCTTCATTGTGGAATTCATGGATACCACCTAAAATATATACATATGCCTCCAGTGCAAAATAAGTGTCAGCTGATAAACATCTAACAATTACCACAAATGACATCGCTAGGCGTGTGCTGATGTGTACGTGTAATTGAGGGCTTTCAGAGTTTGACACGTGCCCGAAGGTAGAGGCGGCTACATCTGTGACCCAACCTTCTTGCTTCTCACAAACGTATTTAAATATTCATGAGCATCAGAAAAATGGATGTTTTTTTAAAATAAATTATTCATCAGGCTGTCAGAAGCACACACACGAAACCCTTACATTTGAAAGAAGTAAACTTAAGGGTGAGGCAGTCATATTTAAAGAGCACGTTTATAGTAATATAATGCCATGTAGTGTTGGTTTTTTTTATATATTGAACATCAATCACCTACGTGTCTGTGGGTTTTTTGGCCTCTAAATTGAGAGAGACAGTGAAGACAGCGTTAGCATGGAACAGAACGAAGCCGCTGTTGATTATGGAGCGCAGGCCTGAAGAGGTTGTCATGACACACACACCCCGTGCTTGAAGCGGGGAGCCCTAGTGGCAAAGGTGCTGACGCACAGGGCTGCTGGCCGTGAGGTCGGCAGTTTGAAGGCACCAGCTGTCTGTCTGCCATGAGTTACTGAGCGTTGTAGATCAGCCATGAGTTATGATGTCCAATTATCTGAGTCTTAATATTGCTCTTGGGGAGTTTGCCCGTTCTTTAGAAGGGGCCCTGTTGGACGGTGAACACAAGGTCAGGGGTTCAAACTCACCACCCACTGAGAGGGACAAAGAGGAGGCTGTCTGCTCCCATAAGGATGTACAGCCTTGGGAACACGGTTGTAAGGCGGCTGTGAGTCAGAGCAGACTCGATGGCAGTGGGGTTTGTGGAGGGGCTTTGTTCTTGGAGAGGGGCGTGGCGTGGTGACCCCCCCAAAAGGAAAAGGTCCCTAAAACTTGCCATCTTAGATGATCTGCTCTAATTGAAATTCTGGTTGATAAACAGATGAAAGGCATGGTTGAGAGGAGAGGTGACCCGGTACCCACTCTCCGTTCTCTGTTCATTTAGACTTTCGAGGATAACTGGCTTCCTGAGGTGCTTTGGCTGGCCGGCTGCTGGTAGCCTGATTTTCTTCTTCCAATCTTGTTCAAAATGGTTAAGTGAAGGAAACTCTTTTGTTTGTTTTAGTTTGGTGATCCATACAGAGTGTGTGCCTCATAATGACAGCATGTCTGTCCAAGAACTTACTCCGGTTCTCCGCTCTGCGGCATAGTTTTGCTCGAGCAGTAGAATGCATTCCGGCTGCCGGTGTTAACTCAAGAGCAGCCAATCCCAGAAGGGATCGCGTGGCTTTTCACCAACGACACCAGCTCCAGTCTTTAAAACCCAGAGACGCCCTTCGGTCTGCCTCCTTCTGTGTTTCTGAAGGGAGCAAGGACTATTTGTGAAACATTTGGGGTATTCCGTCATTGTCCTGTGTCCCCCGTGAATGCCCTCCAGGAAATGCTACAGAGAGTTCCGGTTAGAATTCTGTGTTGTGAATGTTGTGAGTCTGGAGGATAACCTCACTGGGTTATCTGGGATGAGCATGTTTTCTAAATTAACCCTAAACTAGCATCAGGCATTTCACATCCCTTTAAAATCACAAGGTGTTGTTAATCATGCTTTAGGTCAGGGTTCCTAGTTGCTGCGTGTGGTCAAAGCGAGATGCGTGGGGGTGATTTCCCCTCCTAGCAGAGGATGTGTTCTTCTATCGAACCCCCACTTCTTCACCTTATCTGAACCCGCCCTTCATATTAATCTAGACTTTTAATAACAGGGACTGCTCGGTTCCCGCGACCCACCCCCCTTAAGCAAGCTCTAATGAGTTCCTTGAAACCCAGAGCGGCGTGCAAGCTTGGACTCGCCATTGCTTCAAAGCGCATTTACTGACGGATACCGAAAGGAAAGAAGGCCAATCCAAGATTCCTGCACTTTGTTTAAAACAAAACAAACCCCCAGCCATCTCGGGGATTGCGATCAGCCCCGCTAAACCTGTGCCTGCACCTGGAGAGGAGGAATGTGGCTTCTTGTGCCTGCCCGCTGCTGCCCAGGGCGGAGAGGCGCCCCACAGTGTGGACGGGGCTGCACGCCCCTGAGCTGCCCCTGCTGCTGCCGCCTCCACTGCCACTGCAATATAGACCGGGCAGGGCAGGCTTGGCAGTGCTTTGGGGGGTGGCCCAATTCAATGGGAAGAGGACGTCATGGGCGTCCTTGTGCTCCTGGCGTGGGTTCAAGGTAGGCTTCTGAGCAAGGTGTGGGACTTGGGTCTTTTGCTGTAGCCTGGCTCCTGCACTTTCACAGGAGCTAAAGGCGCTACAGGCGAGTAGAAAGATTATCTATCGCGCTTGGCCCTGGGGGGAGCCGGCCGGGTGGCGGAGTGGTTGAGCGCTCTGCTGCTAAACCTGCAGGTTGTCAGTTCTACCCCACTGGCCGCCCTGCAGGGGGAAAAGGAAGCAGCCTGCTTTCATGAACGGCCGTGTTGGTTTTCCTGGGTCCTCCAGAGTCTGCGTCTGAACGGACTTCCTGGCACCACGGCATTCTTTCCAAATACCCTGAGCCCTCAGGGACGCAGTGTGCCCCTTTGAAAAGAAAATCACATAGAAGCTCCTGCAAAGCCAGGACCGAAGGAAAGGGGAAGAATTTTAATCTATGTCATTTCTCGCTCTTTTTTCCTTTATGGACTGCAGACAGATTCGTTTTCTTTCCTTTTGTTGAAAGTATTTGGAAGGGAAAAAAGCAGTATTTTTCTTGTGGGCGTATCACTAGATAATCAGAAACCTAGGGGTTGGGGCAAATAAACAATGAAATATTGAAGTATTAACAAATCTCTCTGGATAAATTGTAACCCTGGGGGCTTTATTGTTTTTGGGTCATTTGGTGGGGGTTGTTTTTTTTTGGGGGGGGGGGGGTAGCAAGTGTAATCTTTCCATGCTCCAAATCTTGAAAGAAAGTTCTGCTCTCCGGTATTTTTGGGTGGAGGACGATGTGGGAAGGAGAATATTTCCCTCGAGAAACAAAACAGAGAGGAAATGCTGAAGTCGTTTTTCTTCTTTGTATTTATTTTTGCTTATCGGAATGGTCGAAGCCCTCTCCGTCTGCTTGTCTGCCTGCTTGCCTGATGGACAACTGCCTGATTGACTGATTGACTGACGGACTGCCTGCCTGCCTGCCTGCCTGCCTGCCTGCAGATTGTCTTTTGATGTCTTTCATCTGAGTCTTAAAGAGCCAGCATAGGAAATGGCCCAAACCAGGCTGCTTTCATCTGTGATAGCTGTGGGTGTTTTTGATTCCAGGAACATTCAGGACCGATCCCTCCTGAAGGTGTACAACAAGGATCCTGCACACGCGTTTAACCACATGCCCAAGACTGTGAACGGAGACATGAGGGTAAGTGTTTGCGCTCCACTTCGGGCTTCCTCCTGCCAGTTAACCTACCTCTCTCTTGCAGGCTCCCCTGACCTGGGCCTTGCCCTGGACCTCGCCTGGGGGTTCAGTACTTGTTCCTTGCTACAGAAATTTGCTGTGCTGCTCATGGGGGACATGGGAACTGACACGGGACTTGGCTCGTCCTCATTGCCTCTCTGCAAGGAGTTTAGCTCTATAAACTCTCAGAGTCCAAAGTCATTCCTTAAAAGGGCCCCATGTCCTTGGTCTGCCTTGCCTTCCCCCATTTAAACAGGGCAGAGAAACAAAGATCGCAGATGACATCGTTCCATGTTCTTGCTTAGCTGTCCAAAGGCGTGGTATCCTCGTACGTCACTCGCTGTCTAACGCAGGGCTGTGGACTCCTGTGCCATATTAAATATTATCCCGTCTTTGCACTGTGCCTGGTGACCTGAAACAGAAATCGCTGTGATAGGGGCGGTAACATTCTCTAGATTGAGATCATTGCCGAAGATTATCCCAGCTTCCAGAACACATGAGGATGTTGTGAAAGAGAAAGAACAAACAGAGAAGCTGGAAAACCAAATTGCATTGATGCAGGTCCGCTGGACAGGGATGCAGTTTCTAGCTACAGCGCTGCGTTCCTCTGCAGCAAAAATAGGGCGAGGGGGTGAAGATGCGCTTCTCTCGTTCTTCCAGTCGCGATGGTGAACTGGTTTATACCAGCTTGGCTCCGGATTCGCACATGCAGGGATGTAATTAGGGGACTGGGAAGTGTGTGTGTCTGGGGGTGGGTGGGTGGGGGGGCGAGGCTCTGTTGCTCAGGAAACCGAGGGTACTGTTCCCCCCCAGGAGTTACAGTAGAGTTTCCAGAGATGTGGCTGGCTCTGCTTCCTAACCGGCTGTCCTCGTTCCCTGGCGCTGTTATAACAAGTGACCCCCCCAATCCGTGGCTTTAAAACGGCACAGTTTGTTGGGTTTCATTTTGTTTGCTTGTTTGTTTTGCTCCTTTTTGTTCTGGAAGTCGGAAGTCCTAGCTCCGCCTTCTTGTCGTTGTTCTTGGCCAACAAGTCGATCCTGACTCACGGTAATCCCAACTCTACAGCAGGGTAGAACTGATCCATGGGGTTTGCAAAGCTGTGACTTTTCGGGAACTAAGTCACCCACCCTGTTTTCTGAGGCCCCGCCTTGGTGTGGGTTAAAACCCCGAGTGTTGTTCCACCTCACTCACTTAAAACTCCACTCGCGCTCCCGAGGCAGTTCCGACTCACATGGACTCCACAGGGTAGAGTGAAGCTGTCTCGTTGGGTGTCAGGTTTGACACCTTTACAGGAGTGGAGATCCTCATCTACAGCCCTCTGAGCACCTAGTGGATTCGAACTGCTGACCTTTCGGTTTATGGCCCAGCTCAAAAAAACCCACTACACTCTCAGGGCTCCTTTAAAACTCAAAAGCAAACTCACTGCCACGGAGTCAGTTCGGACTAGCCGCCCTGTAAGACAGGGTAGAAACGGTCCCTGTGGGTTTCCAAGACTGTAATTCTTCACGCCAGCCATTTTTAACCTTCCGGATGCTGCCGCCCTTTCATACACTTCCTCATGTGGTGGTGACCCCAACCATAAAATTACTTTCATTGCTACTTCATCACTGTCATTTTGCTACTGTGATGAATCAGGTGACCCCTGTGAAAGGGTTGTTAGACCCTCAAAGCAGTCACAGCCCACAGGTTGAGAACCGCTGCTTTACAAGATTTCCACCATGCTAGGTGTAACTCCGTAACAAACACCGCCCAGCCTTGCCCCACCTTCACAGTTCTTCCTGTGTTGGAGCCCATGGTTCGAGCCACCGTGTCATTCCCCCTTGTGGGCACCTTCCTCGTTCGGTCGAGCGTGATGATGTCCTGCTCTAGGGACTGGTCTCTCCTGACAACACGGCCAAAGTACCTGAGGTGAAATCTCGCCATCCTTGCCTCTCTGGAGGATTCTGGCTGGACTTCTTCTGAAACAGATGCACCCATCCAGAAAATGCCCCATCAGTTTAGCTGGCTGTGGTGGTGGCGGGGCGCCATTGAGTTGTTCCCACTCAGCGCACCCCCACGAACCACAGAGCAATACGTTGCCAGGTCTTGAGCCGTGCCCACCCTTATGTTTGAGCCCATTGTTGCAGGCGTGGTGTCCAACCGTTTTGCCAAGGGTCTTCCTCTTTTTTCCATGCCCCTCTATTGTACCAAGCCTGGTGCCCTTCTCCGGGGACTGGTCATTCCTGACGGCATGAGATGACGTCTCCCCGTTCGCGCCTCTCAGGACCATTCTGGCTGTACTAGTTCCAAGACGGATTTGCTTGCTCTTTTGGCAGTCCGTGGTACTGTCAATATTCATCACCAGGAACCATCATTCAAATGTATCGATTCTTCCTTCATCTTGCTTACTCAATGTCCAACTTTCCCATGCGCCTGAGGTGATTGAAATTACCACGGCTCGGGTCAGAGGGCCGTGCACCTTGGTCCTCAAAATAACGTCCTTGCTTTGCAACACTTGAAAGAGCTCGTGTGCGGCAGATTTATCCAGCACAGTGTGTCGTGTGATTCCTGGCGGCTGCTCCCATGAGCATGGATTATGGATCCAAGCAAGACAAGGTCCTTGGCAGCTTCGATCTCGCCTCCATTTGTCATGATGCGACCCTGTGAAGGTGGGCCCTTCCGTCTTCTTAGCAACTGTATTGGATTCCCTTTGGTCACAAATTTGGGGGATTCGGTTGTGGACACTTTGGGGGGTGGGGGTGTCATTATCTTGTCCATCAGAAGGAGAATGTGGGGGTCCAGCAAGTCCGGTAGAAAAAGCTGGGAGGTATTTATATGTGATTCTGCATCAGACTATGAGTGATGACACAGTGGGATTGGAGCCTACATTTGGGGGGGAAGTTGGGGTTGGGGAGCTAATTTACTCAACTGCTGCTTTCTGTGTGTTAGAGAAATGCTGCGTGAGTGGAATTGGCAGGTGGTGAAGCACACTCTGTGTTACAAGACCCTCTGCCTCCGAAGGTTTTCTTGTTCTCACTGCCAGTGCCCTCGCTTCAAGTCTTGTCTCCTCTGGGCCACTTCCCTGTCTGATAGGCGAGTCTTGGGACTGCCATTACAGGGGTTTTCTTCCTGGAATGTAAAGCCCCTTCCCGCTCAGGCACCCGGAGTCCCCTTGTGTAGGGCTGGTGAGGACACCTGGTTTAACTCTCAAGCAGATGTATGTCTGTCCTGGCCCGGCCCAGGAGCCAACACTGAAAGAATCATCTATCAGCCATATGGACAGAGCCTATTCGAATTCAGAACTCTCACTGTGGGTTCCAGACAACCTGTGCTGCTGTTGCTTACAGCTGAGACCCAAGCAGTCACCTGAGTTTCCCACAACCTACTTTGAGCAGCACATTTTTAAAAAAACCATATTGGAGGCTCATACATCTCTTATCTCAATCCATCCATCCATCCATTGTGTCGAGCACATTTGTACATAGGTTGCCATCATCATTTTCAAAACATTTTCTTTCTACTTGAGCCATTAGTATCAACTTCTTGGGTTGTTTTTTTTTTAACCTCTCTTCCTCACCTTCCCTTGTGAACCCTTGATAATTTATAAATCATTATTATATTTTCATATCTTACACTGACCGATGTCTCCCTTACCCACTTTTCTGTTGTCCGTCTCCCAGGGAGGGGGTTATATGTAGATCCTTGAGATCAGTTCCCCCTTTCAACCCCACATTCCCCTTACCCTCTTAGTATCTCTACTCTCATTATTGGTCCTGAGGGGTTCATCTGTCCTGGATTCCCTGTGTTTCCAGTTCCTATCTGTACCAGTGTACATCCTCTGGTCTAGCCAGACTTGTAAGGTAGAATTGGGGTCATGATAGTAGGGGGGAGGAAGCATTAGAGAACTCGAGGAAAGTTGTATGTTTCATTGGGAGCAGTGCATTTTTATGTGAGAGAATCAACTTTCCATTCCCAAAGGAAGAGATGATGAATGCGCGCGCACACACACACACACACACACACACACACACACCCCTTCCCAGCAGGGGGGCCTTTATATTCAGGTGAGGACAACTCTGCAATGGGAAATAGAAAACAGTTCGAAACCCAGCCAGGGGCAACCATGATGACAAGAGAAATGTCTTCTCTCTGCCTTCTACCTGGCCTCTGTGCTCGGATTCCAGAAACTACAAGATGAGGAATTCCTGCACGGTCACCTTTTGGCTCTGGCCAGTTGGCATTCTTGGTCCTTCCTCAGTGAACGTGTCTGCATGGCCGTGAAAGGCACGAGAGCTTTGCTGACCCCCCACCACCACCACCACCACCCCGTGGCTCATGGGTAAAGGTCAGAGCAAGGATCGGCTCGACGGGGGCAAACAGATCCTAGCAGCAGAATGGATCAGGGCCGCCCCGTGTGTTTGCCATGTGGAGCGTCGCCATCAAGGAATTTGACTGCCACTAAGTACATGCATCGATCAGTTACTGCAGCCCTGCACCGGATGTCAGGCAGGCTTCCTTTGCAGCTTTCCAAGGTGGCCGGGACGACCTCCCAGCGCCATGCGGGCTCAGCACACAGCCCACCCAGAAGAACGTGGCTTGGGTCCAGCAGAAGCTCATCAATGCCAAGACTGACCCTCTCTTCACAGGTCATTTGACCTCTTGCCCTTGGAGAGCACCAAGCATGTACAACCACGTCTTCACTTCCAGTTCCTTGGGAAGCTGGTGAGGCTCACCGTCCTGGCCCAGGTGATGGCCCCGGAGCGGGCATGTGGAGTATGTGCACAGTGGGGGGTGGGGGGGGAGGCCCGTGTCGAGCTTCTTGCCAAACTTGCAGCTGAGCATTGTGGAGGGCGGTCTGGCTCATGAGACTTGGCTCCCTACTGTAGCTCAGCACGCTGTCTTCCTCAGCAGGGCACGTGGCTGTCTGTCTCCCTCTGCAGGGCACATGGCTGTCCATTGCCATGGCCTTGTGCTTTGAGACTTC